GGAGCACAGACAGGAGAGAACTGCTCCTGTCTGTGCTCCTGCCCTCTGAAGATGCCGGTCACAGATGCTGGCAAAACATTAGGAAACAAAACTTCCAGAACACGTCCACACAGCCCGGAAGACCCACACCAGCCATCGTATTCCGGCTGTGAAAGCCTTCAACAAAACATGGGTATGTTTACTCTGCAGAAGAGAAGGTTAAGGGAAGCTATGTTTCAAATTAGTTTGATAGCAGTCTTTAGATATCTAAAGAGTTGGCATAAAGAGGGGGAGAGTGGAGTAGTGGAGTAGATTCAGAGTAGATATTAGAAGGAATTTCCTGACATTGAGAGCTATCAACCAGTGTAACAGGTTGCCTCATGAAATGCTAAGCTCGTTTACTGGAGGTCTTCAAACAAAGACTAGATAGCCATCTGTCCAAATGCTTTAATAGACACTGCATCAAGCAGGGTTTAGATTAGATGATCTCTGAGATCCCATCCAATTTATGAGTCTATAAGATTCACAGTTATTAGAGGCTTTAGAGGAATCAATTCAGGTTCCTAAAATGGTACTCTACTTTTATAAGAACTTTTAAGTCTATGAAATTAACATTAACTATTTATAAAATATTTAGAATATTAAATTCTATTTTTTTAAAATGGCAGAAAGGCCTATTAAAGAATGTGAAATTAATTTATTTAATATAACAGAAACTCTATTTTATGCACATTGGAGACCTCAGACAATTAATAAGAATTGGATGCAATCTCCTTGCTGTTAAGGATGCTATATAAAAGTTGAAACATAACTGATGTGCCCTGGACTTGTCCTACTATTGCCACATTTTATGCTGAAATCCACAGTTCATTAACACAAGTTTAGATGGATCATTGATGGTTAAGGGTACATAACTTGTATATATTCCCAGCATTTGGACTCTGTCAGCTTATAAAGAACTATGAGATTTTATGTACATGGGGGATAGTGAAAATAATTATTATAAAACATTGAAAGGACACATCTTGCCCCAACACAGTAGTGGGTTGCTAATATGTCTGATCTGCCAAAATTATTTGTTTTCTTGTTTATTAGTTTGCTTACTTTTGTTGTGGGGCAATGATGAGGAATTTTGAGCAATCCTTACATATTTTTTTTGCCATTGTTTTGTTCATGAGATTAATTTCAAGGCCTTTTCCCCTCCTTTTTGTCAACCCTGTTTATGTAACTATTTTTAAAAAATTGTTAGATGCAATGTGTGTGTTGTGTGTATGTATGTAAATAAATATATACATTAAAAATTTAAAATAAATTTAAAAAGAGATTGGCCAGGATGCTCTGGATTCAGCATCAGTGTGAGAGTTATATTGTTGATCCAGTAGATCATTCCATCACTCTCAGTCTTAATGCCTGTTGCAACCATTCACCATGAAGAGTGTCCCAAACCTGGTGTTGTTTTACTGACTGAAGCTGGTATTTCAGAGATGAACATTGCTTTAGATCATCTCCTTCTCCATCCTGGAACAAATGTACAGTATAGGAGATTCATTAGGGTGGTTTTCTGGCACTATCTGCTTCACTATCCGATTTGTTCCCACCATCATACTATTAGGGAATATTGGCAGCTGGTCTCCTTGATAATGGCATCACCCCACATACCACTAAAGCAAAAGGAGCATGAGGTTTTCCTCAGTCTTTTAGCAGAAGATTTGATTCCTATGACCCCCAAGATGCCTCCCCTGGAACCTGAACCTATTCTAGTAAATTATCTTACAATCTACAAGATCTTTTCTACTACCTACTGATCCTTCTTCATTGATATCAGTGCCTCAGTGCTATCTGGGTCTGAGCAGACAGGATTAACACTATAACACTTCAGTCCATCAGTGGGTGAGGTATATGATTCTGACCCAGCCTCATTTCAATTAGATCAGGTTTTTCTCTCATCTGATCCATCACCCTGTACTTATAGAAGTAAACAGGCATTACATGAAATAGTTGCTATGCTTAGTTGTTGCTATAAGCATGGAAATTCAACAAAACCCAAATGATGCATGAAGGTGGATGCAACTACTATACCTACCTAGTTCTTAGAATCATCATCTGTGCATTTACTTAACTGTTTTAGCTTCTGCTCCTCAGATGGCTGTCTATGTGTTCCTGGTGCTCCCAGACTACTGCATCAGTCTCTTGGGAAACTGGAGAAAGGTGGGAACGATACCCACAAGCATGGGTGCAATATCAAAAAATATATACTTGAGTCTTTAAGATAGTTACGGCTTCTGCACTAGTATGCCCAAATCTGAATGTTTGGATGGCCACTCAAAGAACCACAGAGATAACCAGCTTGTTTTTCTCTCAGGCCTGCTGAATTCCCTCTTTGCATAATTTGTGTATTATTATTGCAATGGTGTTAAGATTTCCTTTATGTGTGTTATTACTCACATGTTCAGATAAGCAATATTCTTATCTATATAGCTTGGTATTCTGACATTGGATTATATTGAACAGGACTGCAAAATAAAGAAGGTCAACATACAGTCTCCTTTATTTCTGTAGGAAATGGGACGTCATGATGATCTTTGGTCTTTGTTTTACATGTTGGTGGAGTTCGTTGTTGGGCAACTGCCCTGGAGAAAAATTAAAGACAAGGTTTGTTCAGAAATGCAGCAGTTGAGATATCTTGTTATCTTTTAGTTATTGTAGCATACTTTAATTAATTAATTAATATTTATCTAATTTAATTAATGTTTATTCTGTTTTTGCTATAAACCGCCCAGAGTCACTGTGCAGTGAGATGGGCGGTGACAAATTTGAAATATAAATAAATAAAAATCTTGAGGATCAGCTAGCTGTGAGGGTTAATTTGAGACATAATGATAATTTAATTTGTTAATTAGTAACATACATGAGAAAAGTTATTTTCATTGGAACTTCATATAGCGAGTGGCTTAATCTGACTACACCTAAGATCCTATCCCCATATGTTGGCATTAGAAACCTTAATGCTGACAGCAGTGTGGGTGATAGTGGTGGAATTACCAGGTTTTAGCTAGGAAGATAAGAATTAAACCACTGATTGTTGGCAATTCTGTTAGGACTAGAAGAAAGAGGCTTGAGAGTCCAATGTTGCCCAATTCGGTATTCAAACAAACAGTGCTACATGGCAATGTATCTTTACCTGATTTATATGCTTGACTACATTGACAGTGATGCCCATATCAAAGTAGAATGTAATAGTAGCAGTATTTGCTATCTTATATCTAAGCACAATACAAAGAAGGCAATACATTTGCAAAGACTGTTATAACCTTGGGTTTTAAAACTAGTAGATATGGATAATTTCCTAAATCAGGAATAGGGAACACCCAGTCCCTGAGCTTGTGAAATTCTAAACTGTGTCATTATTTTATTTTATTCATTTTGTTTTTTGGTAGACTGTGGAGCTTTCTCTGTGCCTTTAAATTCCACTGTCATTATTGCAAAACTTGGCAACATAGTTTTCTGCTATTCTGAGACAGGAAACAAAAACTGTAGCATATACAGGTAGTCCTCAACTTATGACCACATTAGGGACTGGAAAATTTGTTGTTAAGTGATGCAGTCATTAAGCGAGGCATCATGTGACCGCACCCAATTTTACAACATTTTTTCAGCAGTTAAGCAAATCACAATGGTCATTAAGTGAATCGTGGTCATTAAGCAAGTCATGCAGTTTTTGCTTTTTGGAAGCAGGCTGGGAAGGCTGCAAATAGCGATCATGTGACCCCGGGATGCTGCAACCGTCATAAATACATGACAGTTGCCAAGCACCTGAATTTTGATTATGTGACCGCAGGGATGCTGTGACCATCATAAGTGCAAGGACCAGTCACAAGTCAGTTTTCAGCATTGTCATAACTTTGAATGGTCACTAAATAAATGGTTGTAAGTCGAGGACTAACTGTACCCTAAAACAGACTTAATACATACACACACAGAAATTCTCTCCTAACCAACCTCAAGATATGAGATATAACAATTCAGAAAACCTGAGTATAAGCTATGTATGACACAGTCCTGCCCTCTTTGTGTTGTTTTCCCATTCCCAAATGATAAGTGCAGTCATCAAAAGTTAGAACACTCCACATTTTAATATAGAAATCAAAAAGATAGATTTTAACTTTTACTGCACACATAAGTTCAAGTAATATAACATAAATCCTAATGTATTTAAAATTGTGGGTAAATATTTGTTGCCTAGATAGTATAGTATGTAATAGTATGGTAACTATTTGACTTGTCTGCTTCTAGGAGCAAGTAGGCTCTATAAAAGAGAGGTATGATCACCGGCTGATGCTGAAACATCTCCCTCAAGAATTTAACATCTTTCTAGATCACATTTCTGCTTTAGACTATTTTACTAAACCTGATTACCAGGTATGACTTCTATGTTGCGACTCTCAAATCTTCTTTCCTTCTTAATATTTTAGTTACTGTGTAAGCCTTCATTGCCTGCTTTGAGATTTTATATGTTTGAGTCTACATTTTGTTAAACCATATTAAATTCATGACATATTAAAATTACCTGCCACTCCTAGTTGGTTATATTCTAAATTGAATATTGGCTTTCTAATTCTATATTTCTATTTAATATTTTAATTTTGTTTTACTTTGTAAGGTTTTCCTTATAAAAGTCAGAGTATAAATCTATAAACAGTAATCCAGACACAGTACTGTATATATTATCAGAAGTAAATTTGAACTGTAGCAAACTGAGTGAGCTGCTATCATAGTACTGAGTTGCCATCTCACATGCCATTACAATAGCAATGTAGTGGTGAGCTTGGCTGCCTGTTGAAGCAGTTATACAGATGGCATTGAGGGTAAGAATGGGTGAGAATAGGTAGTAGCACAGAAGAAAGCCACTCATAAATTCAGTTTACTTTTTTCCTCTTGGAGGGAAAACTATTTTAAGTCCCTGTTATATTCCACATACACACGCACACACACAATTTTTATCAAAAGTCTTTTAAAAAGAAGAATAAAAACTACAACAAACTAAATTAGAACAGAAAAATTTAAAAAGAGAGAAAGAAATAACAGAAACAGCTAAAAGTACAATAAAAAAAAGAAAATAGAAAAAAAGAGCAAGTTATATAAAAAAATATAAAGATATAAACAAATGCCTTTCGATATTCTTCACAGCAGTTATAAGTAAAATTATATTTTAACCTCTCTCTCTAAAGTTACATCATGACTTTCTTTCTATAATCTATCCTGTCTAATCACCAAAGCCATAAATCACAAGTTCATTTTTTTTCATGTTGACACAAAAAGTCCATAAGGGGTTGCCAATCGCTAATAAGTGTAGAAATTGTCTTTTCTCTTATCAAAGAAGTCAGTTTATCCATCTCAGGAAGATCTGTCAATTTCACCAACCGTTCGTCCATAGTGGGAAGTGCCGAATCTTTCCATCTTCGTGCATATAATAATCTTGCCACAGTAATCATATCCTGAAATAATCTTCCATGACTCTTTTCTAACTGTGTATCCATCAGTCCTAAAAGGAAAAGTTCTAGCTTCAGTTGAATATTAATCTATAAAATCCTCTGTATTAATGCAAGTATTTGAATCCAACATTTTTTAGCTTTTTTTAACATGTCCACGAAGCATGATAGAATGTCTCTTCATATTGTTCACATTTGCAACATACATTTAGAGTGCCTTTATACATTCTAGATAATTTCTATGGCATCGTGTACCAACAATACATCATTTTATAAAAATTCTCTTTAAGATCATAACATAATGTAAATTTCAACCCTTTTAACCATATATTTTCCCATTGATCCATCTGTATGTTATAACAAAAATTCTTAGCCCACTTTATCATACATTCTTTAATTTGTTCTTCCTCTGTTTCAAATTTCAACAAAAGTTTATATATTTTCACAATTACATGTTCATCGTCAGTGCACAATTGTACATCAAATTCTATCTGACTTTGCTCTATACCATAAGTCTTTTTGTCCATTTTAAATCTTTTAGATAACTGTAAATGGGAAAACTATTGACAACTATATCCTTCTGCTATTAGTTGTTCTCTTGATTTAGTCTTAAATTCCCCTTGATGGTTTTTCAATAGTTCCCAGTACATCAACCATTTGTTTTTGTCTGCTGTTTCTCTTCTGTGAAATGCTTCTTGAGCTGAGATCCATAAAGGTGTTTTTGGGCACAACCTGGGTTTATATCTATTCCATATTCTCAATATAGCACGTCTAATAAAATGAGTTAATTTTAATTTTATCGTACCATAAGTATCCATGCCATTCAAACCTCAGGTTGTGAACTTCTAACTCTAAAAGTCTCTTGTTTCTCAGCAACATCCATTCTTTCATCCAGACCAAGTCCCTGTTATATTCCTGATACTCATAGGATATTTATGTCCCACGTATTTCTCCTATTACCTGGACATGCAGCAGCTAGAATTTTTATAAGCGATACCAAGAAACGTATAGATGAGGCTGTGTTTTATTTAGAAGATGAATAATGGTAGTATTTCATTTTATCTAATAATAAATGTATTATGCAGATCTTGTATAAAGATCTACTTTCAGACAATGTCAGAACAAAATTTTCAAAAAATAATTTGAAGAAATAACTGACACTAAATATAATGAATTCCTTTCTTTTTTTTATAGCTTCTCATGTCCGTCTTTGATAATAGCATGAAGACCTTTGGGGTGACAGAGAGTGATCTTTTTGACTGGGAAAAGAGTGGGGCTGATGGCTCTCTCACTACTACCACTACTTCAACTACTCCTCAGCTGCATACTCGTCTGACCCCAGCTGCAATAGGGTATTTTGAATCATTTATTTGGATTTTAGATGAATTAGCATTTTAAATTTATCAGTGCTTTTTCTTTGGTTACCAAGTGCTGTCCTACAGAATAAGCTTCAGTTCTTTTTACTGTTTAGCAAGGAAAATTGGCAGGTGAGTCTTCATGGATGATAGCATTGCAGTTATTACGAAAGAAGATATCATTCCTTCATAATAAATGCTGACAAATCTTAAGCACCTATCATAAGATTTAGCAATCTCATATTAAGATCAAGCATCTCAGGTTAATTAATGGATCAAGATTCAACATTCTGTATCAGATATTTTGAACTGCAGCTGTTGTAATTACTTGCATTTGGCCATTTTGACTAAGATGGATGGGTTTAAAGTATTTGGAAGACTTCAGTTTGACCACCTCTGTTCTAAATTGTACTTCATTAAGAAAAGGAAATTATTCAATACAGTTTGAAGTGTTGCACTTGCAATTAAGTGACTGCTTAATTATAACTCACCATAATTTGCATTGTAATCTATAAGGATGCTGGTATCTAGTGATTCAAGGTTACATATAATGGTAGAGGTAGTAAGATGATAGATGACTATCTACTGTCTTTTGGAAGAGAAGGGTCATCCCCAAACTGGTATCCTCCAGAGCTGTCAGGGAACATTCATTCATACATTCATTCATTGTGTTTTCTCTTACATATGACACATAAGAAAAAAAGATAGGAGGGATAAAAGAATTAGGCATTATTTCTTAGAGTCGCAGTTCTTATCCTGATCAGCCAGGTTGAAAACAGTTCAACTGGCATGATGTATTTGGGAAGAAATTTAAAACAGTTGTTCTTTATTAAGCAATTCATCCCAATGGCTATTACTTGGTGACAGTTGAGAGAAAACCAGAGGCAAAAATGATGGAATAGTACCTTCTCATCTGTTCCTTATCCTAATGAAGTGGCATGCTGGCTGTAAATTATGATACCTTCATAAGCAAATGGAAAGCTGGGAGTTAGGGAAGATTGCTTTAGCATTACTGAAGTTACTACTGTATTTCTAAATTTGAAGATTTAAATCTTCATTTAAAATCTTACTTTCAGCAATCCTAATCTTTTTGGTTAGATTAAAATGGATGTCTACTATTTATTGCTTTCCAAATTAGTTCTTAAGAAGGTCACACAGCACTGACCTCCTAATCTTGTTTTCCTGTGTGATATTACTGAGGAAAATTCAGAAACATACAAACAAAAGTGACAATGCATGTGTGGTGACAGGCAAAATAGTATCAGAACTAGACTCCTGGGAGGACCTTTAGTAGCTTGCTGTTTGCGTAAAAATATAATTCAGAAATTGAGAAAAGTGTCATATAATGCACATTTGCAAAACCTACAGATCTTGAACACTATTGCTATATTATAGTCTCCAGCATGTTCCTGTTATTGAGATTATCTCTGCTGTCATATAGAATGACATATAATTAAAGACATTTTAGTTTGTTGATCAGTTGATCAGTCTAGACAGATCTGTATATGCATAACAAATAAAATTGTCCTTGAGATTTCAATGGGTCTGACTGCAGATTTGTGTGATTACACACTGCTTGGAGATGTTTAATTTCATGTCCTGCATTTCTGGTAGACAGGATTAATTACTGTTTTCCTTATCAAGGGAACTCTTCTTCCTCTTTTAGAAGAGGACTGGTAAGAGTCATAACTGCATTCTATCATCGAAGGCAGAGAGGAAAATAGCAAGTGCCCATTTAGAAGAGAAACTGGGACATCTTCAGTATTAATTTTCACTTTTTTTATAGAATTGCCAATGCTACACCAATACCAGGAGATTTATTACGAGAGAATACAGATGAAGTATTTCCTGATGAACAGCTCAGTGATGGTGAGAATGGTATCCCTATTGGAATCTCACCAGAAAAGTTACCAGAGTCTCCTGGACATCGTCTTCAGGAAAAGGATGTGTGGGAAGAAATGGATGCTAACAGGAATAAGATTAAGTTGGGTATCCATAAAGTAAGTCTTGTAGTTATTCAGATAATAACATATACTTTTTCTCACTTCTTCAAATTAATATATATCTTATGTTTCCAGCAGTGGCTAATCAGTTATTCATGAAAAATGAATAAACAGAGTATGATGAAGAAAACCACTTAATTTGTCCCCTGGCATACATATACATATATGGTATACATATGAGCATAAAGGTTTCATTTCTAGTTGTTGATACTGCTGCTACTGAATAGAATAATATTGATCTGTTTCTAAAAATCATGAATGTTTCAGTGAATTTCTTAAGAGAAATTCTTAGGTGTCTTTGTCTTAATGTAGTGCAAAGTAGTCTTAGTCCTTTTCTCCATACTGTTTATAGTGCTTATCAGAATATTTGGTTAGGAATTTTAATATGAATGCATATCACATTATAGGTACCTTAACAGCAGAAGCCTTATTTGGCTCTTTAAGACCTATTGATTTCAGCTTCATGGTACCTGTGAAAACTCATAATATTGCAGATTTCTCCACAGCTGGTAGTACCTCCTACGCTGGTAACATGCTGTGGTATCTAGGATTGACATATTGGGTTTTTATTCTTTCCCACCCATAGAATTCTGTGTAAACTTTTCTATGTACTGTACAGTTTTATATGTAAAGAAACTGCATTGTTTCTTTACTTAGAAAGAAACTATGTAAAGGGGCTTGTGATTCTGTCCATCAGCAGTTTAATTACTCTTTGAGAACAGAATAGAACCTGGCCCAATTGGATACAATGAGAAAAGCCTGCAAAAGAAAAATCAAGTTTGAATTAGAAAAAACAGGTCAGATCCATCTTAAGGCTGTGGAGAAAAACTTTGCAGAAAAAAATTCCCCTGATTTGTCTCTGTGGGAGTCAAAATGCTACAGCTGTTCCATTCTAAGCCCCCACACCTTCTCCCTCCTGCTCTGTGCTTCCTATTGTGCAGTAACACTGAACTATATACAGATGCAATATGAGGGGAGTGTTGAAACAAACACACTCACACATACACACATACACACCCATTCCTTTGTTCCACAGAATTAAAAACAGGCACATCCTATGGCTGCTGCTGATAAAGGGATTGGAAAGAATTCTGGAGGCTGTGCTGTGTGTGTGTTTCCTAAATTGTTTGGATGTAATATTAAACTGCTTTTAGTACACAATTAATTTTTCATCTACTGCCCCCCAGCTCACGTGGTCTCCTACAGTACAGCCATGAAATAGAAATTAGAGGCTGCTGCTTCCTTTTTAAATTAATTGAAGTTTAGTGAGTTGTCTGAAACCTAACTGTGGCTAATCTTAACTATGGCTAATCATTTTCCTCAGTCAATGAACAAGTATATTGTTTTTGACTCATTTGTTTAATTGGGTTCTATTTATCTAGTTTTAGGACTTGTGTGGAAAACAATCACATTTTATGTCAAATTTATGCAGAAATATTGAAAATTCAAAAGGGTTGATAAACTTTTAAGCACCACAGTATCTCTAATTGAATTTTTAAATAAGCATATCATCTATTAACAACTTTACTTTTTGTTTTATATTGTCTTTTAAATTAAGGCCATGAATATGATTATTTTTCCCAGTATTCTGTGCTAGTACTTATATAATAAGGTTAAGCCAAATAGGTGAAAATGGCCATACTGTTTGGTATCCCTATTTATTTTGGGGAAAAAAATGTGTCTAATGAATGCTAGTTACTGATTAGGCTGGTTAATATAATTGGTTAATTATGGAATTAAACTTCTTTCATAATTAACCTATTGTCCATAACAGTTTTTGAAGATTATTCCACTCTTGTCAAATGCTTTTAAAAAGTTTTTAAGCTAGTTGTAAAGATAATACAACTAGTAGAATTTTGATATGTTTAGCATAGTACTATAATATTCTTATTATTGAGTTCACTATACCCACTGTTTCTTTTACAAACAAATCCAGATAAATCAGGAGAAGCTCATTACTTAAGAATGTATTTAATTTTTAGTCCAGAAATTCAAATCATGTTTTTATGTTAATTCATTAGTATACTGCACTTATACAATGATATCTGTTGAAGATCTTTGCTTGATTTAGGCATAAATATAAGTTAAATTTGTAATTTTTGTATTGTTGTTATTCTCTTTTCTGTTGTTTTGATTTGTATTTTTTTATTTTCTAAGAATAAAAGTTTTAAAAAGTTGAAATGAAAATTTCTGAATTCATCCTCTAGAGAAATATAGAGGAAAGCTAGGCTACCTCCCATAATATTAAACCTGATCAACAGTACATGATTTGTTATGACCTTTCAATAGTTTGGTTTATCGGGACTGTTAGCAACCTTTAGGGTAAGCCTTAAGACTTCAGCAGAAGACTGTGCAGAATGGTGGCTAGGATATGTGGGCATGCATTCCTGGGAAGGCTGAAAACAAATAATAAATAAGGGTTACAGAGGTGTTTAAAGGAAGGTGATTAAGGAAGTGTGGTCAAAGGAGGGACCTGACAAAAGTAAACAGAACAGGAGTGAAGATGGTTATGCGGTTGCAGTGCTTGATGCATCACTTGGTAATGCTCAATGTGATTGTAAGGGGATGCCTAGAAGAACAGAGTAGGAAAGTCAAAACCTCGCAGAAGCAATGGCAGTGAAAGAACAGCTAGTGGTATTCAGGGATAGAAGGAAGGTCTTCATGCTGTGTCTGCCCTTCCAAAAGACACTGAGCCAGAGCAAAGCAAGTCAAAGTTGGCATTGTGATTCTACCTGCATTGGAGTAGAGGGTCGAAAGAAAAGTTCCTTCTGTTTTTCTAGTCATGACTAAAATGGCAAGACATTGCTAATTCAGGTCAAACAATAGTGATGAACCATCACTGTGCAGTGCTTATTATAAAGTATGCTGTAGAATCACTGCATATTTGATGAAAGATAAAGGGGAAGAGAGGATTCCACACCTTCTTCTGTGACACCACCTCTAGACCAACTTAGTCTCTGCCTTATTCTTTTAAGAATCTTATTCAAGAGTGAGGGAAAATGGGAATTACAATGACAGTGAAATATAGCAGGTTAGAGCAACAAAAACTAGAATGTCTGAAGAAAATTGGCACAGGAAGGAAATTTTGGAGTTGGAAGCTAGAGAGGCTACATGAACTCATGAAAATTGGGTGAACAGATCTGTTGTAGTTAATAGGTGAGCTAGTTGTCAAACTTGCTGTAAAATGGCTGCTTATGTTAAATAGTGTTTCTAAAATCTACAGGTTTTCAATAATAGAAACTGATTTTCCAATAGAGGCAATATGCCAGAACTGTTTTTAAAATCACATTTCGAAAATGCTTTATATAAGAATTATCTTACATCCAAATATTTTGATAAGAGTGGGATGTTACCCCTTATGTTAAATTATTTTTTATCATGACTTTATTATTCACTTCTGACACTCCTTCATAGGCTACCACAGAAGAAGAAAACAGTCATGGGCCAATTAATGGAATGTTTAATGCACCAAGCCTTGGTTCTCCAATTAGAGTCCGTTCAGAGACCACACAGCCAGATCGGAATGTTCCTCTGGTTCGAAAGTTACGATCAATCCATAGTTTTGAACTGGAGAAACGCCTGACTTTGGAGTCAAAGCCAGATGCAGATAAATTTCTGGAAATCTGGTAAGTAATTATTTCTTTTATGCAGATTTTCTTTTGCAGTTGCCTGGTTTGGTTTTGTGTGTGTGTATAGTTCTTCACTGTTGCTTAATTAGAATATCTGCAATAAATAATTAGAATATCTTATGCATATATAGGTTTACATATAGCTAGCCCTCATTATTCATGGCAGTATCATTCTAGCCAAATGGTGGATAATGAGACGATAGATGATAACACATGAAAAAAGTATTTTGGTCATATGTAAAACCATGGCTGCCATTTTGCACATGCATAAGATAACACAAACCTGTGCTCCAAAACATGGATACATGAAACTATTTACCATGGATACCAAGGTCTGGTATGTATTTTATTTCCATGGACCACCTAATTTTTTCTAAAACTTCAAGTTACTTCAAGTTACTTTAAATGATGTCCTGTGGATTCTACTTTGTATTGCTCAGATACTACAAATACATTGATATATCATGTTGTTTTCTTTCATCATTCCCAAGCATGGAGAAAAAGAAAAGAGAGCTTAATGGTGGCAAAGAACCTGTAATTGCAGCTTCTCAGAAAACACGTGCTCCTGCAGCTTCTTCATGTCAGGAGCATGTCTGGCATTATGATGAAGAGTATCTGCCTGAAGCTTCCAAGCCGGTTTCAGGTACTTCTCCAGAACAGGGTGATGGTGGTGTTAGCAACGGATATGTCGCTGTCAATTTGAATTCCTGCCAGCAGGAAGTAGACTCCAAGGAATGGGTGATTGTTGATAAAGAGCAGGACCTTCAGGATTTCAGAACTAATGGTGTTATGGGGCATAAAACAACTGGAAGTCCTTCTGATGAAGAGCCTGAGGTGCTCCAGGTTTTTGAAGAGTCCCCCCAAGAGGATAAACTTAGACTTCAAACCAAGCATACAGCTGACGGAGCAGCACTTGACTTAGGTGCTGAATGTTGTGGAATTGCAGCTTCTGAACAGTTTACAGATCAACTAGAACTCCCAGTTGGAATTGCTGGCCATGTTCTTGCTGTCACACCTACAAGCCTAATGGAGGCACAAGCAGAAGGGGCTCTTACTCCAGTAAGTAAACTAACAGCCAGAGTCTAAGTCAGGCAATTTAAGAAATTGCTAACTGAAAACATAGTGTTTGAATCATAATCAAAACACTGTTTAGAGATGATAATCTGCTTTAGTTCTTTAAAAAGAAGGTAACAGTTCATAACATTTTTAGAAATATTTTCCAAATACTGTACTAAACATGTCTTTGCAATGCCCAGAGCTCTTGCAGCTGATTTAATTATTGAATGCTCCATTAAATATCTTTAACAGCAATGTGAATAATACCAGTAGAGCACAATAACTATGATATGTTTTGAACAATTGATTATTTTTATAAAGGGTACTTTTGCAGTACTTTAAAATATGAACTATTTTAGCCCAAAAGGAGGCAAGGATTATTTCAGAAATATAAAAAACTGATGGAGTGCACATATGAGCTTACTGTATTTTCAGTCTTTATTTTCAGATGGTAGTAACTGCTATTAAATATATATTTTATTTTAACATATTCTAGAAAAGCAACTCTTACATATAAAAGTGTAAGTTGGCTCCGCCTGATATCTTAAACAAATTTATTTATCTAAAAATGTACATATCTCCCTTACAATGCATATATCATATTTATGCTTGCTGCAATTGTATACAGATTCTCAGCGTCTGTGTTATATGAATAACTCAGGATGGTTGACGACTCAACTCTGCCCACTTTCCTTTCTGTTCTACATCTTTATTTATTATTACATATTTCAGTCAATTTATATGGCCACTTACCTCGCAACAGTGACTCTATGCAGCTAGCACAGAATTAAAACTCAGTGAGAGCAACCAATAACAATAAATGTACATATAGTAGCGGTCAAGGACAAGAAGCAGTCACTATGAATAATATCCATCTTCCGGGCCATGTTATTTGACCATCTTAACATTTTGTTTCAGATTTCAGACTTTCCAAGAGAATAGTTCTATTTTTTTTGGCCAACATCACAGGGCATTCAGTGTTACAAAAATATACTCTTTGAATTCTCTATCCTTCTCCTCCAGCACAAGGATGATGTTTAAAACCCCTTATTTTCCTTTTTGATAAACAAAGCTTTTTATGACATCTGAACTCAAACTGAGATTAACCAAAACCTGGGTAGGGGAGAAGGAGGGATTTCCTCTCTCAGAAATGTGCCCATTCAGGTTTTAGGTCTGGCATTATTCATTGTCTCAGGGCAGGGGAGAGGGGAAGCTGCTCTCATCTGTGAGATTCTGCTTGCATCAAGAGGCAGTACTCTACAGATAACCAGATGTGAGACCTTCTTTGTTCAGTTGGGCCCAAGGGGCCACTTGGGTTTGCTGCTTCTGTACTGCTCCCCATACTGCACAATGGCATCTCTGCCAGCGGTACTTGTCCTTATTGTTGAGATGGCAATAGAGATCCCTAAGTTAGTAGTTTTGTGGGACTTTACCTTGCTTTCACTTGGTGAGGTCCGGAGTAGCCCAGGAGTACATGGTCACCATGGACTTGATTCAATATATTGAGGGCCTGACATACATGAGGAGTCACATACTAGATCTAGTTTTTGTCTCTGGGCAGACGCAACGTGATCTAAATATGGGGAGCACTGAGCTTTGTGCCTTGTTATGGACAGATCACTTTCCAATTGCAATTTGTGATGCAATTCTCCTCTGTAGTAGGGATGTTAAATCAGTCTGCCCCAGATACCTGATGGATTCTGACAGGTTTCAAAGAGCTCTTTGGAAATTTCCTGAGGAAAAATGTCCTGAGGATCTGGTGGGCGGTTTGGCTGAGACTCTGGTCACCTACTGGAATAAGGGGGCATCTGGAGCACTGGAGCAGATTGCACTGGAACACCTTATAACCTCATTGCAGCTCCTTAGAGCTCAGGGAGATGAAACAGCAGAGGAGATGTCTAGAGTACCACTGGAAGTAGACCCATCTTGAGTACAATCAGACATTAATAAGAGCTCATTGTGATGATTCAGACAACAAAAGAGATACTTGCTGCACTTCTGTGTTTGTTGAATGCTGCTAAGGGGCCCTTGTTAAGGCAATCTGTTTCCTTTTGGGGAAGGATGATCCCCAAAAATCATCTTATAGGGCTGCTATGAAGAATTTCCATAGCATTTGGAGGACAAAAGCACTTAGATTCGAGAGGACCTGGACTCCAGCTGAACAATGGCAATGAAGATAACTAGGACCTCATCTTATGAAGTGATCTAAGATAATTCTGAGTTTGTGAGTCCTAAGGAAATTATACAGCCGTCTGTACTGTCAGCTCTGCCACTTCCTGGTTATATCTGTGCCCCTTATGGTTTATTAAGGCTGCCCATCAGATGGCAGGAAGTTGGATTCGAGCAGTTAACAGTTCTTTGAATAAAGGGGTGTTTTTGTCACCTCTAAAAGACGTTGTGGTATACTCCCTCCTTAAGAAACCTTTGCTCAAGCCAACTGTTTTAAATCATCTTAGGCTTCTCCAATCTTCCTTTTTTAGGAAAGGTTATAGAGAAACTGGTGGTCTTGAAACTACAAAGAACACTAGAGGAAGCAAATTATTTGGACTCCTGGCAATTAGGTTTCAGACCAGGGTACAGCACAGAAACTGCATTGGTTGCATGTGTGAATGACCAATGTGTTATGCTGTTAAAGATGCTTTTGTATGTATCTCTTGTGCTGCTGTGAACTTTGGGTTAGTTTTCTTACTACCTCTCTGGATTGACATATTCAAAGGTTCATTTGGAAGCTGTAGTAGGATCCTGCGTTGCATATCAGACTACAGTTTGAGAAAAGTCCCTTGAATTAAAGTAGTAGAATTATACAATTATAGATGGATAAGCACAGACATAATAAACCCTTTTGTTCCTGGTAGCTGCTCTAGTCTTCTTAAACTGTGTGGCCTCTATCCACACAATCAAAAATAGAAGTCTTGAGCTAAAGCTAATTTGAAGCAAAATACAGCATATTTATGCTCCTCTGTAACTGCAGCTATACTAGAAGAGAAAGAGAATAAAGTATGCAAATGTAGAAGAAGTTGGACTTACTATCATAACAAACACAGCCAGTAATGTTTGTTCTTAATGAAGCTTTGAAGCTCCTTAGCAAGTTTGGTCTATAGTGAATTGTGTTTTGCATTAAATCTTTGTTAATATAGATGCTTATAAATGTTTTAACTCCAAAAAAAAAAAAAAAACCCCCTACCAAAAGATTCTGTTGACAAGAAAAGAAATTTAAACCTTGTGTCCAGTGTTCCACAAGATACAGTTGGCTTTACTATCATTTTTTAATTAACAAGTAGTGCTTTACTATAATTGCAACTATAATGTTAATGTTTTCAAAATGTGTATTAGTTTAGTCAAATTTAGTAAATTATGTGCTAAGATCAGGTTCTGTGCAGATGAATATGTAAAATAATTTATCTTGCACTTACTTTATATCACCTGCTTGTTTCAGCTTCTAAAATATGGTATACTTACTTTTCTTACATACATAAAATGAGAGGTGAATTTATTTGTACTACACAGTTATCTCTCTGCCATTTTAGACAGGCTTCCTCATAGCAGCCTGTAACTGTGGTATGAAAAATATATAAAATCCACACAATAAAAAGCATAATTTAAAACAAAAGTCACATAATATAAAAATTAAAATCTTTTCATATTTAAACACTTCATGGTATAATTAAGCCCAGAAAAAGAAAGTCAACTTAATTTGCTTAGGAATGAATATGGAGTTTCTACTACTGATGTCTATTTTAACTCCCTCTCCAATAATATTTTGAGTAAGAAGAATAAAATTTAATTACAAACTGAACATTCATTTAGCCCCCTCCCCTACATTCTCACAAAGATAAAAGAGGGAGGAAAGGAAGCACATTCAGACTTGCAAGATTCTGTTACTGTCGCTGTTCTAATAAAAGTAGCTTTAGGTCTACACCGTGTCTGTTTCTCAGTCTGTTCTACTTTATAAGTCTGATATTAACCTTGCAAGTCTGAATGTGCTTCCTTTATCTTCATGTGAATTTGGGGGAGGGCTGTCTGAGGCATTTTTACAAACCACTTTCTTGGCCTGGGCTCATTCATCAGATCATTGCCTTGATAACATATCTTCTCTGTCCTTCAGGGGCATTCTCTTTACTCACTACAGTACTGTTCTGGGTTCCCAAGCCAGTCGGGTTGTCCTGCTTTTGATTCATTGTTCTGTACATATCTACTGAAATTTTCTCAATAGTTATTACTACACAATGTCTTGATTTTATAAGGACATTTCAATTTTGTTGCAGGACACTATTGTCCACTCTTATATTAGCTACCCACAGAGTCAGGAGCTAGATATATAATCCTAATCCATTTTCAGTGGCTACACTGAATCACAGTAGTGCAAGCCACTTTAGGAGACCCTACTTCTGGCTACTGCGTCAAAATGTGCTTTACCTCTTCATTTCTGGCATGATTTTCTACCCTAGGCAACTTCTATCTTGAAATAGGCTTTGAAACCAACATTTCTAATTCTTGTGGCTAATGTAGAATGCAGCAGTAGGTCCTGTGTCTGGTTGGAGGGATCTGCCTTCTTCATTTGTTCAACTTTTGCCTTCCATGCACTCCATGAATGACAAAATAGATGATCACACAACATTCTTCAGAGGATGTGGGTGTGCACATAATATAAATATTCTGGATGGTCCTATCACTCAGTATTGAGTTTAAATAACCAAAACAGCCATATAGGATCCAGTATTCTCATTTGTGGAGGATTTTACTGCTGTGTTAATCCAATTTTCTATATGTCTCATCTTGTTTAAAATACCTGAAAATTCTTGGATGAAGCCTTCCTCAGTGCTTATAACAGCAACATCCATTAGGAGCCTTTATCAAATTTAAGAAGATGGTAGTTCTGTTCTGTTCTAGCTTCCATATCCAAATCCTGATAGCTTTGTTAAGCTTGGATCAGCCTCCCTTCTCTGATTTCTCAGAGACATAGTCCATTGCCAGTTTGATCAGATCTCCTTTCTCTGTACAAGGGGACATCCACTCAAGCTCACTGTGTGGAGTTTACATCTACAATCCTTCTTAGTTATAGTACATCAGATCTTTGGTTGCTTGGAAGCCTTTGATTCAGGAAGTTTATATGTTTATAAACATATAAGCCTTTGATTCAGGAAGTTTATAAGTTCCTCAGTTTCCTATCTTCCCATGATACTATTCTAGGTTCTTGCAACATTGTTCTTGTTTTGGAGTTTTTATTGTGACTTAAAATGAAGGGACTTTATTCTTCTCAGTAAAAGTTTGTTTTGTTACAATCTTCATAACTTAGTTAAAAGAATTTCTGTCTTTTCTCATCTGGCTGTGAAGCAGTTTTATAAGAGTTGTACAGTACTTTGTTCTCTCTCTGAGAATCAAAGCCCTTTAAGGCCATGGCTGCCTGACCTCTTCATTTACTATCTCCGAAGACAGCATTAGTCATTGTGATCACATCAGTCTGACATTCCAGTGAGCTCCATGCTTTGTGTTCAGGTGAATCTTACCTAATTTTCTATAAGGAGAAAGTGAGTTTGTGTCTACATTTCCACTCCTGCTGAAAGCAGTCTCTGATTTTCACTTATGCTAGGAAGAGATCTTCCTTGTATTTTTTCAAACCCAGAAAATTCCCTGGAATGAATTGTGTATATGTTTGATATTTAGAAAGCTTCATTTCTATCTTCAACATAAGAAGGATCCACACTTATTTCTCTCTTGTAATAGGCCACAGAAATGTCCTCTCATCTTTTGCTGAATGAATCATATCAATAATTAGATTTGGGCAGACAAATCTAGATTTGCTGTTCCCTGAGAGTGATGGCTTCATCAGCAGTAGGATCTATCTTTAACATCACTGTCACTTTGTTACAGCCATCTGATCTTAGCAGGGATTATTTTCTTGAGAAGATAATTTGGCAGGGCAGTTTTATTCTGTTTTTTTTTATTTTTTCCATTGTTTCCCAGCCTCCTTGTATAGTAACTTGCTACTAAGACATGTACGTATGTCAATCATAGAGACCACTGGTTACTTACCTATAACTGTCATTCTTTACGTGGTCATCCGTGAATTCAAACGCCACCCCACCCATCCTTCCAACCTGATTTCAAGGACAGCATTGTCAGTATTGGCCTGTTGTGGCTTTCTTTGAAATGGATGACAATGGCAGGAATCCTAACTTTACATGCTGAATCTAGTGAAGGGAGATGGGCTTTCTACCAAAGGTCTTAGGTTCCAGAATGTTCCACATAGGTTACTCTGCATGTGCAGAACCCATACATGCAGATTCACAGATAACTACCTAAAGAACCACAATTACAGGTAAGTAACCAGTTCCTTTGTTCTATTATTCTGAAATAGCTATTATGTGTATCTGAACAGTGTGTTTACAGTATAGTACTGTATCTGCAAGCTGGTAGAACTACTGCTTGGAATGAACATTGGGTTGGATCCAGATTTTGTTTCCAGTAAGAGTGTTCCCTGAATAGAGTTCCAGGGGATTTTTTTGCTAAATACAAGTTTCCCTAATGTTACTAGTATCATCTCCCATGCTGCTTCCTATACCACAAAGAATATTATGAGGAAGTATAAGAGAATAATAGAGAAAGGAGAATTAGCAAACATTGCCATTCTGCCCAGGGAAGTGTTCTGCTTCTATAAATAGAATAAGCTTTTCCAATTGTGGAGGCAAGACCTGGTTCCAGTTCAGTACATTTCACTATTTTGTGATTATGTTTGTCAAGTAGGGTTTATAAGGCAATCACATTTTCTACTAATTTCTTTTACAAGTAGTGTTGTTTTATAAACACTTTTCTGAATTCACATTTTCTGAGTTATTAAGTGGTATATAGGAATATATTGCTAAATTAAAGATGGAATAATATCATGTGGTCTTTACAGTTTCATCTTTAAAATTGTTACTGTTTATTATTGGAAGGATCAACTACTGGAAAAATAATGTATAAAATGAGATAAATAATAATAAAATGGTCTTAATAAATATTTGAAACATTTTCTTTCTTTTCCCTGCCATGTTGTTCTCACAGCTCAGCTCACTTCATATGTCGCATTTCTCCATCCCACGAATCTCAAGCCCCATCATCTTCCGTACCCTGAGCCCTATAGCCCACTTCACCACCCATATGGACCCTAAGAAAGTGACAAGCTTTCCAAGGAGTCAGTCAGCAGAGAGCCACTCTTCCTCTTCCTGGTCACCTGCCCGTAGGCAACTTCCTGTTATTCCCACTGGAAACAAGTTTCCCCCTGTCATTCACATCTCAAAAGCACAACTCCAGCAGGTGAATGCATCTTCATTTTCATCAAAGCAACTACACTGTGTTGGTCGTTTGTGAAGCTTTACAGTTCCCAATTGTTATGCAGCGCTGAGATGTAGAATATTTGTCTGGGTAGGAAGACTGAAGGCTGGGAGATACAGCTTTTTTGAGAAAAAAGTCATTTTAAAGAAGTAAACTAGTTTAAAACGATACTGAAATATTCACAGGATAGATCAGAGTGAATCCACCAACTGATCTTTTATATAGAAGATAAAATATTTTTTCAGAAATTACGAATGATTTTTGTAGTTTAAAGTCTGGGGAATGGTTTCAATAAAAGCTAAAATTAAAGCTGATAACATTTTTATTTTATATATAAGTGATTGATATATATGCAAAAAAGACAGAGAAAGAGAGGGGCTCATTTACTGATTGAGAAGGAAAGCATTGTCATGTTGTATTTCCTTTAACAAATAGAATGCTAAAATATATACTGTTCAAGGCATGGGTATAATAATAGGAATCAGTAGTATTAAAGAAAGCTATTAAATGGAAAACTCCAGTTAATCTTTAAGAACACAATATTCATGCTTGTTTTCTTTTTAGAAGAAGTAGTCTTATAAGAGATGTTATCCATATTATTTTAACTTATCATAAAAAATAGCCTACTTACAGTGACAATTAATCATTATGGCTTAACCTTTATTTGATTCCATCCCACCATAAATGTTACTATATATAAAATTTATTTCTGCGCATAACATTTTTTGCTTTATATATAAAATACTATTCCCATATTTTGATTATATAATTCAATTGAATTTTTTTCTCTCAAGATAAATATTTGTTGCTAATTGAATATTATTGATCAATGATAAAAAGACAAAAAATATTCCAAGGGTCAAATTTTCTGTCAGTGAGCTATATAAGGCACGTTTCCTATGTAGCAACAAGTAGGTCTTTCTAACTACATTTGATACATTTTTGGCCCTTGGTTTTTTACTTTTTTTCATGGTGAAGTAGCAATCATTATTAAAAAATTAATCCTAGTAATTTAGAAGTTAGCACTCTGATACTGGGCATTACTGTACAACCTTATGCAGTGGCCATAGTATCCAAAACAAAAGAAGAAACATCTCCGATTTTCAAAATGATTATTTGCTTTTTAATTGAAGCAACTGTAACATGAAGACAAAAGCTAAAAATATATTTAATATTTGAAAAATAACAAAGGATTGAAACAGAAGAAAGAAACATTGAGTGTGCCTAATCTGTGTAGGTATCAATATATAATTAAAAACTGATAAATGTTTGTAGCTAATAAATGATGACTGTATTTGAATACACCTACTGTATCCTCTCAGCTCTTTGGTGCTATGTTAATTTTCCAATCAAAGCAGTTTCTTACCAATTCAAAGAAAAGAATAGCTTTTTTTGTGGTAACAAACCAATAGCTAAAATCATCTGAAATGTTGCAAAATCACTAAATCTAATGAGAATTCTGAGTGCAAGAATCTGTTGGAATCCAATGTAGTATTGCAACTTGAATGGAATCATCGGGTTTTCCAGATTACTACATATTGTCTAGTTTATTTTTTTCTTCTTTCACGGCATGTTCTTTTCCCCATTTCTTCTTATCCTCTTTGTATCTGTTTAAATCAAGAGTATGGAGATTTTTTTCTTCTTCTGAGGGCAACATTTCTTCAGGGGCTCCAAACTGGCAGTAAGTGAAGCCAGAACCAAATTAAAAAGGGCCAATCCTTTTCACTCTCTCTCTCTTTTCCTCTGTTTCATTGCTGAGCAGTCATCTAGGAAAACCTCTTAGTTTTTGTGAAAAATGAACATTTTTTCATAACTTCCATGTGATTTTCTTCTAGCTGATCAACACATCAAGGAAAGAGACAGCCTTTATTTGGTCCAAGACTGATCGGCTTTTCTTGCAGTATGTAAAAGAAGCCATCTCCCAGTCCATTATTTGAAGGCATCTGTCTTCTTTCTCTCACTCTTTCTCAAGTGTCAAAGCTGTACATGACCATTGAAAAAGCACTTGCTTTAACTGTTCAGGCCTTTATTGTCATTGAAATGTTCTTATCCTTCATGGTCTTGTCTAAGTTTGTCACTGCCTCCCTCCCTAGATTAATCTCTTTATTTCTCAAACACACTGTTCGTTTTTATCTCTTCTGGTCTTGAGGAAAAAAAAAATATCTGCCACCTTCTTAAATTTTTCTTTTCATTCTTACTTTCATAACAAGCTCTTTTAAGTTTTCTTTACTTTTATTTAATAAAGTGATATTGTTGGCATATATCAGATTGTTAGGGTTTCAGACTCCAATTTTGATTCTAGGTGGGATCTCTTCCAATTCTGCCATTCATACATTCACTTACAAGTTGGGAACAGTATGCATCATCTGACTCACTTCCCTATTTTGAGACTCTGTTTCTCCAAATTCAGCTCTTATAGTAGCTTAATAATTGTTAAGAAGAATAATCAGGTGGTGTGGCACACCATTTAGCCTTCTTACGATCCATATTCTGGCATAATTTATGTAATCAGAAGACCTTTCTGAAGCCAGCAAAGCAAAGATAAATCTAATGTTCTCTTGTTTTCTTCATTATCCACTTTACCTTAGCTATGTGATCTCATGTGCCCCTTGTCTTTTCTGAACCCTGCTTTTATTTGGCATTCCTCTTTCCATATTTGCCTGTATTCTTCCCTGTAAGTTAAAAAAACTTTCCTTGTGTCAGAAATGAAAGCAGAGTCTTGGTTTGATAATTTGCACATTCTTTTGCATCTCCTATTTTTGGTACAGAGATGCACACCAATCTTTTCCAGTCTTTGGGACATACAGTGTTGTTCTGTATTGCTAACATAGTACAACTAGCACTATGATTACCTTTTCTCTTAGCAGATTTAAATTGTTAGATGCATCTGTTCCTTTGTTATTTGGTAACTGGTCTATTCCCTGTGTTACCTCAGTTTCTTGTGAAGTTGGTTCTTAAGTATATTCTCTTTCTGAAAATGTTTCTGATATTCTATAATCCCTTTTGTAAAAAAATTCAATATAGTTCAATATATATGTTCCATCTTCCTTTAACCTCATTTGCCATTGTTATATCTCTTCTGTGATTATTTTCAAGTTTTTTTACTTTAGCTGTACATTTTCTTATGAATGCTTCTTAAATAGACCTCTTATCTTCCTTTTCTTCTTACTTCCTTTATTTGTTAACATTCTTGCTTGAGATATCTTTTCCTTTCTTGCTTAAAAGTGGAATTCTACATACAACTGTCATACAGTTTTCATGTATGCAAAGGAATATTTTGTGTTTGAGGTGGAGGGACAAACCTGTCAGGAGGTAATGGATGTTGAAGGGACTGATAAAGGTCAGTGGCTAGCGAAACAAGTAGAGGAAAAAGAATATGCAGAAAGATATGTAGAAAGCAACTTGGGACAATGATTACAGAAATAGATTCAGGAGTAATGTGAAATAGATGTGATAAATGTAGAGGAAATAACAGATTATTTTTGCTCTTATGCAAAATAGGTGAGTGTAGTAGGCAAAAGGCAAGCATTTCAAGCATCACAATAAATAAATAAATCTATGAATTAATCAGATTTTCTATTGTGTATAGTAACTGTTTGTTATTAAGAATATTCTTATAACATTCGTTATTGGAAAGAATTTCAAAATAGTTCATAAGGACACTGCAGCCAGCAGTTTACAAATGACTGATATCATTGATGCTTATGGAATACAGTCTGATTTGTAGAAGTAATTTTTTCCAATACTTCTCATTTAACGCCACCAATATATATATATTTTCTTATAAACTAAAGCTACAATCTGATGTATCTTTACACCAAAGTAAGCTCTATTAAAGTTGAGTTTTGAGTAAAGACGTATAAGATTAGACTGCATGGGCCTGCCTCCTTGTAACCCATTAGAATTTCAACAAGAAGAAATAAAATAAAATAAAATAAAATAAAATAAAATAAAATAAAATGGAAGGCTGCAAATACATTTTCACATTGTGTTGTTTAGAAATGAAAGTATACCAGTTAAATTAAAAGCATGTAAAAAAAGGATTCAGACTAATTAGAACAAACAGGATAAAGTGGATAATACTCGTCTTATTACACTCGCTCTCTAAATGTGTCTGACACATTTAGAGAGCGAGTGTAATAAGACGAGTGATTTTGATAAGAACAGTTTGAGTAAAACAATCACACTATTATTATAGCCAAGTCATCCCAAATTGGACTGAGCACTTCTCTTTTTTTCATTGTATTCAGGATACATTATACATGGATACATTATACATGAATTGAAGGAATATGGTCTTATCTTGCAAAAAGAAATTAACTACTGTTGTTTTGAATTTAATCTGATAATATTGGTAATGTCAAAAACAAATCAAGTAATTTCTGATAAACTCATTGTTTAAATGTTTTCTTTACAGGTTACAATCCCCAGGCCATCAATGGCATCCACACAATCTACTTCTGAGAGTTTTCATTACGGGCAGCATCTAGACAAGAAAGATCGGGACCCTCAGCTTTTGGAACATACAGTTGAACTTTCCTCCCCTAAGGAGAATGTTGTTGGCTTAGTGGAGGGAAATTGTGCATTGAATTTTAGCAGCAGTAGAACAGATTTAGTTCTCAAATTAGATTGTAACCAAGGGACACTTGATAAAGATATTGATGAAGGCATTGAGAATCAGAATAATAGCCAAACGAACCTACTTGAACAATACATGAAGAAACAAGGAGAGAGGGAAAATGTGAATCTTGTTGAAGAAATAGAAGACAGAGAGCCTTTCATTGCTTGTGAAGATGCTATTGAAATACAAATTAAAGAACCATGCTTAACTGCTTCAGGAAGCACAGAATCTGTTTTGGATGGACCTCAGGTCATTACAGACCCAGAAGAACCAAGACCCTTGATTACCTGCTCATTACTAAATCAGGTTACAAAACAGGAATTACATAAACAGTCAGCTGCTGAAACATCAGACGTTTCTCTGTCAAGAAGTACTGACCTATTTGCTCACAGACGGGAAAGTCAAGTAATACAAGTACAAGAAAATGGCTTCCATGATGAGGATATTGATCATGCTAAGGAATTGCAATGCCAGCAAGTGAAGCTTGCCACACTTTTACATGAAAAGGAAAAAGAAGAGCAAAGTATTCAAAGAAATGGAGAACTATTCTATTCTATTTCAGAAAATGAAAGTTCTAGTCAGTCCAAAAAAGAATTAGTTAGATCACCATTTGTAGCTAGGCAGAGTCGGATACCAGTTTTAGCACAAGAGATAGATTCCTCATCAGAGTCTTCACCTGTTTCAGCAAAGGAGAAACTACTTTTAAAAAAGGCCCACCAAACAGACTTGGTTAGACTACTGGTAGAAAAGAGACAGCTCAGATCTTTCCTGGGTGACCTTTCAAGTGCCTCCGACAAGTCATTGAAGGAAAAAGTAGTTGCAGGTCCCATACCATTTTCAGAAGATGTATTGTCCTCCTTTTCCAAATTAACATTGGACACTCATTTACGGAGCCAAGTAGAAGAGAGCTTTTTGTCATCAAGTAATCCTCAACCCAGAAAGAGCAAAATACCAAGACCTGTATCTTGGACTACTACAGATCATGTTAGCAGTTCAAATTCAGCTCAGTTTTTTCCTCGGCCACCACCAGGAAGGCCACCAACAAGATCTGGAGTAGAAGTTAGGTAAGTGCACACTACTTAAATATATTTAAACAATATGAGGAATATGTCTGTATAACACCTTGCAGATTGCACAGTCCTTGTTGCTTTCATTTTTGGGGAGTAAGCACAAGTGTATATGCATACAGTGTTTTTCTTGATTTAAAACTGAGAAATGGTTTGTATGAATTACACCATTTGTAACCACTGTGCCTGAAGTTGATATGAGGTACTAGGTTTCTAAATGTTTTATTTTTCAGATTTGAAGTGTATACTTCTAAGAGAATGATAGAATTGTTTATGTGGAGAGATTGAATATAGAAACACTGATTCTTTCATTTTGGTAATAAGCCCTCTCTATGGAAATCTGTAGTGTGTGTCAGGGGTGTAAATACCTATCCTATCATATTAAAAAAAGCTGTACTTAATAATCAGAAAACTTAACTTACAGCTTCACTGTAACATGTCTTTTGATAATGCTGCTGGAATATACAGTATATTTTCTATTTGCTGTAATACAAACAACAGCAACAATAACAAAACGAATTTTTATTTAAAAGAAATAAGTGGGCGTGGTTTGGTTAGAAGAAATTATAGCAAGTAAAATATACTAAGTGGTTTATATTATATAATACAGTAAGTAATGAGTTTATTATTATGACTGTAGGTGATAACATAGCAGGACTTAAAAAGTTAGATATAAAAATAATAGTAATAAAAAGAAATGCAACATGCAAAGAAATTAAGCTGAACTAAAATTAGTGCTACAGTTTGGAACTTAGAAATGGATTTTTGAGTTCAAAAGAGATCATAGGTTGCACTTATGGATGGCTCGGAATGGGGGTGGTGTGTCCACTCTGGCCTTTCCGGATCTCTCAGCAGCTTTTAATACCATCAACCATGGTATCTTGCTGGACTGGCTCCAGGGACTGGGAATAGGGGGCACTGTTTTGCAATGGTTCTCCTCCTTTCTCCGTGGCTGGTACCAGTCAGTGCTGCTGGGGGGAGGGGGGAGAGGTCCATCCCTAGGCCCCTATTATGTGGTGTGCCTCAGGTCTCTCTTCCTTCCTATTTAACACCTATATGAAGCCGCTGGGAGAGGTTATCCACCAGCATGGGGTTCAGTATCATCAGTATGCTGATGATACCCAATTATACATCTCTACCCCGTGCTGGGTAAGTGATGCTGTTCAAGCACTGGCACTCCAGTGCCTGGAGGCTGTAAGGGCCTGGATAGAGACTCAACTCTAGCATGATGGAGTGGTTGTGGGTTTTTGGCCCACCAGAATCAGGAGAGTTGACATCTCTGACTCTGGACAGGATAACACTCCCCAGTCCAGATCTGGTGTGCAATTTGGGGGTCCTCTTGGACTCATGGTTCCTGCTGGAAGAGCAGGTGGCAGCCATGGCCAGGGGGGCCTTTGCACAGATCCATCTTGTGCACCAATTGTGCCCATTTCTGGATCGGGAGGCCTTGTTCACAGTCACCCATGTCTTAGTCACCTCCCATTTGGATTACTGCAATGTACTCTACATAGGGCTGCCCTTAAAGACCATCTGGAAGCTGCAACTGGTCCAGAATGCAGTGGCATGTGCCATTTTGGGTGTCCCATGGTTCACCCAAGCAATATCACTGCTGCATGAGCTGCATTGCTTCCAGTTGCTTTCTGCATGCAATTCAAGGTGCTGGTTATCACCTTTAAAGCCCTACATGGCACAGGGCCAGGTTACTTGCGGGACTGCCCCTCTCCCTGAGGGTATCTGCTCATCCTAGTAGGCTAGATAGGGTGGGTGTGCTCCAGGTCCCATCCCTTAAATATTGCCATCTGATGTGTCATGGTCCAAGCTCAGGACTCAGATTCTGAATCTGAATTTGACCCTGAAGAACCTGCTCCAGCTGAACCTGTGGAATGTCAGCCTCAGGAGAGACAAAACCAAGAATCACAGGATGCTGATCAAACACAGGCACCACCTGAGCAGCTGGAGAAGTCAGATGAGGATGATGTAAGTCCTCCCAGCCCCTGCAGAGAAGAGAGCAGAGTAGTGAAGGTCTGTTAGACTCCTTGCCAAGCAAGGAAGTAAATCTCCTGATTAGTGACAGCTGGCTGCAGCCTGATTTAAGAGGCAGCTCTGAACCCTGTCTCCTTGTTGGAAGCAACTCTCTGATTTCCTGCTTTGGTATGTCATTCCTGTGAATCCTGTTCATGAAACTCTGACCTTGGACTGGCTGACAAACCTGACTTGGCTCTCTGAACTTTGGACTGGATTTTGACTACTCTTTGGCATGCTCCTGTTGAAAGTGAAACCACCCAGGCAAGCTTACTTTCTGAGAGACTTCATTGATTTACATTTCTTCTCTTGTCTGCTGTTATCTGCTCAGCCTTGAGTAAATTGCTTTCCTCACCTAGCAACTGTGTGTGTGAGTTTGACACCTGAAACAGGACATGATGGGACCTCAGAAGCATGCTTCTTGGTGGCTGCCCAAATCCTTTGGAACAGCCTCCCACCAGAGATCAGAGGGACTCCTACCCTTTTAGCCTTGAGGGCTGTGAAGATCTGGCTCTTCCTTCAAGCATTGAGCTAGGATTGGGGGGTTGAGCTGTGAGGATGTTTCGTCTGGTGCCTGGGGGGAAGGGTATATTTTTAACTATGTTTTGTGGATTGTTGTGAGCTACCTCGAGTCATTGTATGAGATAGGCAGCCATATAAGTCCTGTGAATTAATTAATTAAATAGCTAGCAAAAGTAGCAACCTGACTGCTAACAAATGGAATCGCATCTGGAAGAAGGTAACTCAGTTCTTCTGCCTCCGACCCCTTAGATATATCATCAGTGTTTTCTTCCTAATCTCATTATAGATAGGGCAGTAGAGGACATAGTGAATTATGTCCTTCACTTGGCCAGCACCAGAGGGGCAAAGGCACTGTTCCATTCGATGCTTTGCAAAGTCTCCCTTTGAGATACCCTGCAGGCATAATCTGTAAGTGGAGGGATGCAAAAGCCTTCTATAATGGAACACTGGTAATATTAGCCAGATACAGGTAGTCCTCATTTAGCAACCACGCTAAAATCATGTGACTGTGCTTACAATTTTACATAGGACAATGCATACTAACTGACTGTAATGGTAAACACATGACTGAGAGAGATGCTGCAAAGGTAGTAAATGCAGGCATTGGTTGCAAAGTTACTTTGTAACTGTGAATGGTCACTGTCTGAGGCAATCACTAAGTGCGGACTACCTGTACTAGGAGAGGCTTCTACGTTTCTTACAAATGGTGGTACCAGTATGAACACTTGGATGACTGTTATCACAGTAGCATGTCTACTGGCATCCCCTTCAAGGAGTCTACCTCTAATGTTTTCTCTGCTCTAGGAATTAAGTTCCCTCACAGGTGGCAGAAAAGTCTGGTCTGTTGATTCCCACCCATATAATGCAAATAACAAAATTTAACTATGTGATATTGTTGAAAGCTTTCTAATTTCTCACAGTACCTGACAATGCAAGATGGAGTCTAACAGATTGACGGTAGTCCTACCTTCATCCTTAGACTGGAAGCAGAGTAACCTGGGGGAAGAAATTATTCTGGACTACTTTCAACTGGGCAGTAGTCTTCATATCCCACCTCCCATATAATATCTGAGCTATCACTTTGTCCTGAAATATTTTAGATGTGGTGGTTACTAACTGCCTTCCTTTTAAGTTTAAAAACAACAACACACCCTTCAGGATAGCCCCTATTGTATATCAGGTACTTACTAAATCAATAGATAGATATGTTCTCCAAACATGGGACTTATGGAAGGAGATGCCTAGATATTTGAAGGAAGAACATTGCTCTATTTTGTGGATGTTAATTGACCACCTGTCTTTGATGTTACTTATGCCAAAGATTACTGCCTCAGTTTTGTTCTTTCACAATAATCAACCAATCTGACCAGCATTCTTCTAAAGCCAGTCTTGGTGCAAGAGATAAGAGTCATGTCATCAGCATACATTAGAATTGAGATTTGCATCTGTTCAGTGAGGGAGAAAAAAAGCTTTGAGATTCCATGGTCACTATAATATCATTAATGTAAAAAATCAAAAGGAGTGAGTGAACAGCCCCACTTAACACCTTTCTCCAGTGATATAGGTCTATAACACAGACTGAGGCTGCATATTAGATTATAGTTTTATATAGGTAAAAAGTTAAGTTTAGAAAGTCAAATATATTGAAATTTGCAATCATAAGCAACTAAGAAAACAGTTAAACATGTCAAAAATACAACCACAAAAGCCCCAATTAAGCAGCAATATTAGCACAATCTTAAGAGCAGATTGTTAAGCATTAAAAGTCAACTTTGAATAATGGTGTTTCTTCTTGTGTTCAGATAGTCTTTGAGAGAGAGCTTTTTGGATTTCAATAAGGAAATCATTACAAATCTATGGTGCCATTACCAAAAAATCTTTGTTCCTTTTATCTTCCCATCAAATTATCAGGGTTTAGACAGATTCATAGAGAGGATGAATTGAACAGGTAGTCCTCATGTAATGACCATTGTTTAATGATGGTCTGGAGTTATGACAGACTTGGGAAAAGTGCTTTATGACCTCCACGGTCACATGATCGCGAATTGTGACCTTTTTTATGATGGTCATTAAACAAATCATGGTCGTTAAGTGAATCACATCATTAAGCGAATTGCGGCAAAGTCCATTAGGGAAGCTTGGATTCACTTAATGACCACGTGATTTGCTTAATCACATGATTCACTTAATGACCATCGTAAAAAGGTCATAAAATTGCTCTGATTCACTTAACGACCAAATCGCTTAGCGACCTAAATTCCAGTCTCTATTGTGGTCGGATAGCGAGGACTACCTGTATTGATTTCTTTCCTATTTATTTATTTATTTAAGTTTTAACACTGCCCAACTTTGAGAAGATTCTAGGTGACTTACAATATTTAAAAAATACATAATTTAAAGAAATATGAACACCTGGACAAAAGTGCATCAATAACATTTTTTAAAAAGTTGTCAGGGGCTCCACAGACACACTAACCCCAGGCCTAGGAACAGAACCAGGTCTTAAGGGATGCTGTTCCAGAGGGCAGGAGCCATGACAGAGAAGGCACACTTCCTTGGCCCCACAGAATGACAACATTTAATTAAAGGGACTAGGAGCACACTTACTCTGCCCAAGCATACCAGACTGGCAGAAACATTGGAGACAGGCAGTCCCTCAAATAACCAGGCTGTAGGCCATGAAGGGCTTTATAGGTGATGACCAACACCTTGAATTGTATCCGGAAGCTGACTAGTAGCGAATGTAGCTCACAAAGCAGGGCTGACACATGGGTATAACAAGGATCTCCCATTACTGCTTGTGCATTGCATTTTGGACCAGCTGTAGCTTCTGGATGGTCTTCAAGGGCAGCCCTACGTAAAGCGGTTTGCAGTAATGCAGTCGTGAGGTGAATATTCTATTAGTGTAATGTAAGCATTTTTAAGTTTAACCCCACTATTTGAACATGGAAATACATAAAATATATGTAATATGACATATCCTGCATTAAAGAACAGAATGCAGAAGTGACAAATTTCTTTTTTCTTTTCAAGGTTGCGGAGGTACAAAGTGCTAGGAAGTAGCAGTTCTGATTCAGACTTGATCTCCCGTCTGGCTCAGATCCTTCAGAATGGATCTCAAAAACCACGAAGCCCTTCACAGTCTAAGAGTCCAGGATCTCCACATAGCCCCAAGACACCACCCAAAAGCCCAGTCATTCCCAGACGCAGTCCCAGTGCCTCCCCTAGGAGCTCTTCTCTGCCCCGTACTGCCAGTTCTTCACCATCTCGGGGTGGAAGGCCACACCATGACCAGAGAAGTTCGTCCCCACATCTTGGAAGGAGTAAATCACCTCCTAGTCTTTCAGGCTCTTCATCTTCCAGGAGATCCTGTCAACAAGAGCACTGCTACAACAAATCTAGCAAGAATGGTCTGAAAGGATCTAGTGGCTCTTGTCATCACTCTTCTAGCATTAAACCTCCCACTGGGAAGAACAAATCAGCCAATAAACTTAGCAGATAGGAACTGAGTCTTGTCAGGTGTCAACCCCCCTCCCCTTTAATCTAATGCATGTTGTGTCTGTGTACTATGTATTTAAAAAAAGGGAACGTCTTCAAAGATTAGCATTTATCCTGACTTTCAGAGAAAAACAACTTTTAAGATGAATTATTTATATGGCTCACTTTGTATAGGAGTGGCCAGGCATTGCCTAGGAAAGGGCAGCAAGCAGATCAGGGAGGCTGGAGAGCAGAGGCCGTGCAACCAGGAAGTCCAGTTGGAACCACATTGTTTGGGAGATTAGTGTTATAATACGATTTTGCTTTCCCTTTTATTTATTAAAAAGATAAGCTGACTTCAGATGTTCATCAAGGAAAATCATAAAACTTGAAAGAAATTTACTGGGACACCACCATGTTTGAGGTATCAATCAGCTGCCATGTTTTTAAAAATTTTAAAAAGCACATTATTTGGGACAGCAATATTCCACAAAGTCTTCTGTTTAATATTGGCCTTTTTCACATAACATTTCAATTTGCCCATTGCCCATATTCCTTCTTGATTTATAATTACTCCATAAAAAGAAAAAAAAAACCCTTGTGCCACTAAATATTTAAATGAACTACATTTAGTATTTATATAACTTCACAGGATTACAACCCTGAATTTTAAGAGCTTGGGGTAGCAGTGCATGCTTATATTTACTCATCCCAATGCTTCTATTATCTGCTCAGGTTTTGATCCATGGACAATTTGATTACATCTCTGTTTATCAATTTCTAGGGCCAGATCCAGTTATAAAATAAAAGTCAGGAGATAATAATCTTAAATTATGATAGAAAAACAGAAGAGTATGGGATCATGTAACGTCTTTATAGTTACATTAGAATGCAATAGCTTCTCAGGGCATCACTGAGAGAGCCGGTGTAAAACTTAACTAGAATCTGTCCATCAGGTATGAAACGTTTCACTCACTTAACTTTACTATAGTGTTCATCTCCAGTGTTACCAAACTGAAGAAGAGGCGAAATGTTTACACATTTAAACTTACTTGAAACTTCATCCTTAATCTAGAAAAAAATTGAAGCTTTAACCTTCTTCATAAAGGTGACTTTATACACGTGAAGTATGCTAGAGAAAATTAGTTCCTTTATTTTCTTTAGAATCTAGGAGATAATACTTGATAGTAGATCTAAAGGATAAGGTTACAGGACTGTGTCTCTAATGTTAGTGTCTCTAATCCTATATTGTATAGAAAAAGGTGGTCTGCTCATTTGCCCAATATGCACAGAGCCAATATCTGACCAATAGTGCTGTATCTATGAAAAGGGGATCCCAGCAGCCTCATAATTTCTCTGTAGTGGAGGTATACATAGTTATGTCCCCCCCTCCAAAATATGCTTGATTTGAAATATGGAAAAGAGGACACTGAAACTTGTTTTTAGAAATAGTCTTCCATTTCCCAAATATTACTTTCTGAATAAGATCAGTGGCTTCTAGTTTCCCCAAACATAGGTGTGATTGATTTAGATTGCCAGATTCAGAAATCAGTGATGGAATGGAATAAAATGCAGAATGTATTAAAGTAAATATAACCAGTTTCTTGAATGGAGATCTGGATTAGAAGATACTAAATATAGGAGGAACTTTGGCAATTACTGATCTGCTTGCTATAGTCATACGCCTTAGCCAGCATAAATTCTTTTTAATTTAATGTTATTTTATTTGCTGCCAAAATTGTATCTCTGGATGAAAAAGGGAACATTTTCTCTGTGAGCTAACACATTTCTAATGCTGCATTGAAGCTGCACTGAATTTCTCTTGTTCTGTCAGAATGTGTTGGAAATTTTTTACTCTTAAATATGTATTTTTTCCCATAAGTAATGTAGCACAGTGTGGAATCGTAGCCTCATTCAGGTTTCAAGCACTACAGAAGGAGTGCAATAGCTAGAGCATATCTGCTATATCTTGAGAAACTGAACGATTTAAAAGATCTGTTGTATTATATTGTATAATAGGTGCTATACCAATAACTGCATGTTCTCATAGTAAGTTATATATTATAAATATTTATAAATATATACATACACACACATATATGTTTCTATATACTTTCCTGATTCTCCCATTACATTTGTAAAATTATGGACCACAGATCATGCTGTATTCTTTCAGTTACGTGCCTGAATTATATGCCCTTGGCCTTGCTATTCCCGTTTGCTGGCATGCACAAAGCTGAATATTTTTCCATACTCAGTTCAGAACTGAAAGAGTACTCAAAAATGAGTCACTCAGCAATTGGGTGTTTCATATCAGCATTGACAGTTCACTTTTACAATTCTGAATAAAATGGAAGGACTTTGAGAAACTATGCGTTTAATAGCCAAGGTCAGTGTATGGTCTTGATTTTGTCTCTTCATCCTCTTTCTGTATCTTTCTATCCCCTTATGAGAACCTTTTCTGTTAAAGTATTTGTCATGATGCTGGGTGATGATAAATAGATATGTGTGATATGAAGAAGTCTAGACTTTGTCTTGATCTTGCCTTGTCAGCTGTCACCCCTGTTCTCCAGTTTTCTGTGATGCTGCTGAGACGCCCTCTTGAGGCTATAGTCCAAGCACTCAGTTTTTTTACATTTATCAGCTCTATAGAGATACATTCAGCCAAGCAAGTTATTCCAATAGCGTATGTGCTTGAAATATCTACATGATCAGCCCTTTTCTGAAATGCCTCGTAAGTGCTTCCAGGGAATATATTGGGAGGCTGTATAATTTGTGTTGAATCAGATGTATAGAAACAACAAAGCTATATGAATTCTTTATGATAATTCCTTTTTTGGGAGGAGGGGAGGTGAGGCACTTACTGATATCAATTATCTGGTTTCTCAAGTCCAACTTTAAAACTTCTTTTACATATAACGATCTTAAATTATTTGCATAATCTGCAAGGTTTTTAAAAATATATATTTTACATTACATCTAAGGAATAATATTTCTAGAAAGTCCTTGGAGGAACTCCTTCATAAACAAATCCAGAGCATCAGTATTGTAAGAACAGTTTCCCTTGCATGTACGGAGATGCATATCCAAAGATTTATTTTCATGCTTTGCTGTCAGGGACAAAATATCTATTCTATGCATTAACAAAAAGAATGTTGTAGAAATATTATACATTCCTCTTACATATGGTATGTGTATCCCAATATTAATGTTCAGATTCTTTTATGTTAAAATCATTTGTATTTCTTTCCATGTTGTAGAAATGCAAGGAGGCATGTTCCAGACTAAATGGTCATTGTGGAAAGCGCAGGTTAATGTCTATGTGTTTTTAATGTATTAAGTGGATTTTTTTTTTAGGTTGTCATTCTGCCAAAACATAATCTAATAGTTAATAGAAAACCAATGGTTTACTGACAAAGCTTTAAATTATTGTAATGGACTACCATCAACACTCTAATCTCTCTGTAGTAATCAGTGATTTTGTTACTAACTTGCATTCTTTTTTCCACAACATTTACTGCTTCTGGAAGCAAACCAAAAAAGTATTGTGAGTTAACTTTAGTTTTTAAAATAAACTTTAGTTAATAAAATAATTGCACTCATAATTTGAGAAAGAATATATTCATCTAGGTTGTCTTGAATAGTAATTCTCAAGATTAAATATGTTAGTAAAAGGCAAGACAATTAATGTGCATGAGTAAGTCCTGCCCTCCACAGCTTGAGTCAGAATAAGAAATGTTATTCTTTATTCTTTCTGTAAAGCTGATAGAACATTTAGCCAATTAAACTCTAAGAGAGCACCATCTACCCTCATTCAGACCTGCTATGTTCTATGAATGATTAGATGTTGGTGTACTGGCTCTGGAACTGTTGCTGCTGTGCTGAAAAGGCACTGCTTTGGGGACCCACATTATCCTGGGGATTTGAGCAAGAATCAAAAAATTACTCCTGCCAGACTGTCTGAGCTTTTTTTTTTTTTTTTGGCATAATTTTTAGAATTAAAGGTACATTGCAGGCAAACAAGTTCTTTAGTAGTTGATACAAGGGTGCTAGCCACATTAATCCTTACATATTTTTGTCTATGATGCAATTGCACTGCATGGAAACAAAAAAACAGTTAAAACCTACCATCTGTAGTATCTTGGTAGACTAATGCATACTATTTTTAGAACGAAACAAACTGAAATTTGTTTACATTTGCATCTGAGATAATCTGTCCATTTATATTGTATTTGTAGCAAAAACATGGAGCTACAAATGTGTTTTTTACTTAGGTTTCTTAAAAGTCAAGAAAATGCCTTGACATTTTATTCTTAATAGTATCGAGAAGTTAGATTTTGTTCATCATTTTTCTCTTCAGATAGGACTGCTCCAATCTGAGCTGTAGGTCTTTGCTCTTACAGTTTGACAGATGTAGTCCTCTAATAACTCCAAGCTCAGTTGCTTCCTGCAATAAATATAAACAATGTCATTTGTCTATACTGTAATAGTAATCCGTATACATAAAAAGCAATTTCCAGAAGACAAAGGACAATAATTTTAATATATTGATACTGAATGATATTGAATATATACTGGTTAATTTAAGTCCCTTAAAAGTGTGAAAGAGTGCCTGCGTTTTTCAAAATCTATTCCATTAACTTAAAATATTATTTTCACATTTTCTTTTTTGCTGCAATTAAAATTTATTAATGTGGAAAAATAAGGGCAACTGGTTTATATCTTAGAGGGAAAAATCTTTTTATATATGTTCTAGGATGCAAAATATAGAAACTAATGGAAACTAATGGAAAATTTAGATGGTTAGTATTGTCTGGCTTGTGTTGTCAAAGTATATGCTACTATTTCTGGATCAATATGCTGCTATGCTATCTTCTCTAGTTATGATCTTTTAATGTTTCACATTAAGGGTAATTCAGTCTTCTGTTTAGGTAGCATTGATCTTCTGGTGCCAGTCTTGCCCAGAGAATGGATCCTCTGACTATCCTGTTTTAAGAGGAAATCAATTTCAAGAGCACCTTTCAATTCAGCTGTAAGAGAATCCAACATGATGTCCATTCCCATGATGTCCTTTCTGTTAGTGTACCATGAATTTTGCTGCTGGGGCGTGAGGGGTGAGGACATTCCTAGTCGAGTTGTGAGGAGCACATGCAGATTCTGACAACTGCATTAACAGCTCAGAGACAAATTGAATGAATGAGACCCGATGTCTATAATATATTGTCTGCTTTGTTTATGAGTCATGGCCAGTAAGGTAATAGATCCCTCCCTAAATTAATTGAGGACTCATCTAGTTTATCTGACTTGGTTAGGATAGTGCATAATCCCTTCTGTTACTGTATATTAAATATAAAGCAAAATGGTGGACTTCATACTTCTGGTTCTTGTTTGTATAACCTTTTTGCTTTACCCAGTATTTTTTTCAGGAAAACGGATTAAGGAGATAGGTAGGCCCAGGCCTCAAATAAGCTGTATGGAGACATATGTTCTGCATGCATTTTAACAACCAGTTGACTGATAAATGTTCATATGAACAGAAATACACATGTAACACAGCTTTCTCTACAATTTTGTTTTCTATTTCAGAGGAACCTTTCCCCTTCTATAAGCCCTCAAAATAGTTTTTTTAAACAAACAAAATGAGACTAAACTATAATAACTTTTATTATAAAATTTTAGTTGAGTGTATTGCCTATTCCATATTCATTTATATAATTATAATCTCAGCAGGCTGTGCATTGAGAGAGAGTGAGAATGAGAACTACTGTGTTGGTCTTGTTTTTTAAAAGTTTAGCAATAGCTCCATTGCTGCAGTACTATTAAATGGTTTCAGTCATTGTTCTCTTTCTAGTAATAGTGTCAATTAACAATAATAATGGCAAACCCCTAAAACTAGAAAATCTTTCAATTTAACTTCTGTGGTTTTTAGATGACCAGGTTGTTTTTATATGAGCGCGTTTCAGCTTGCTTGTGGATAGCTCAAAGGAATATATTCCTTTTCTGTTGCAGTAATTGATCACAGGGACCTTTTAAATTTAGAAAGCACTGTGATGTGATAACAGAGAGAATCTGAGTGATGATATATTCCATTATATCTCAGGCTTTCACATAGTTCTGTATGCTGAGGTTCAGAATACATCTTTTGATGCTAGTGAAAGCAGCCCATCGTCACAGTTTAACTGGAGCACTCATTTGACGAGAAATTTCTGCAGTCTTCTCAACCTATGTGAATTTTTTAATTTACTTCTTAGGTCTTAAAGAAGAACTTTGCTTTGTCAATTTTTGGCTGTTCTTGAGCTTAAATTTCAGCCTTTTGCCTCAATTTTACACTGGGAATATTGGGTTGGATCCAGACTGCTATTCTGCGAGCAGGAATGTCCTAGAATGCAGTACACTTTTTCTGTTGGAAAATAGGGAAAGCAAAAGGAGATTGGGGGTCAGATGAAATAGTACAGAAAAAGTGGAGCTGGTGAAGATTCCTCCGTCCTCCTTTTATTTTTCAGAAAGGAAAAAAAAACTAAGAAGGTTTATGCTGGCTACATTACACTAAGTGGTGGCTTCTCAACTTTTATATAGCCATAAATTGGCACAAAAGTTACTAAATTATTTCCTATTAAAGTGACTAAAAGAATGAATCCAGGGCAACAGTAGGTCTGTTTGCTAAGTTTTTTTTTTCTTAAAATTTGGTAGATACACTGTACTGTATAGTGCAAAGACAAATATCTCTCCCCAGTATATAATTGCTGTTGCTCTGTAGAAGTAATTTTCAGGAGCCAAGAATATGGATTGCCCTTTTCCATTCTGGAGCAGTACAGTGGATGGCAAAACACATAAATATTCCATTGGGAACTGATCTTTACTGAATTGTGTCTATGTTTTGTGTGCTCATATTCTAGTATCTCATTTCAGCCTGACAAAAAGTGGGACTTCCCATTTCATTTCTCATTTGCAAAGTAACAGCTTAGGTCTCAGATCTGAGGTGTTTCAGCTATCCTGATTTGTACAAAGGAGAGTAATATTAATGCTGTGTTGACAGATGAAAGCTTGCCTTAAAAAAGACATGTTACACAGTTCCTTGGATCCTCTAGAATAGAATTATGCATCTAGAAGGTCCTCTAACCTCCAGTTGCATGCTGTTCCTCAAATGATCAGAAAGTGAATTTCTAAATCTTTCCCTTTCTTACTGAATTATTCATGGCCTGTTATGTTTTATGTTTTGCCTTTTTTATTGCACAAAAATCTGAATAAATTAAAGTAAATTTTTGAAACCAGGGGTGATCATATTAACCTGAAATTTCTCAACAGTCTGATCTTTGTTTTAAACTAGAAAAGCCACCTATTATTTATCCAGAAAATATTTACTATTTCAAGGATAATACAGTGAATTGAGATAGAAAGATATTCTGGAATGGTAACTTAATATCATCAAGAATTTCAAACTTTTTTTTTTCTTGTGTTCAGAGTTAAAATTAGATGTCTTACCATTTTTGCTCAGTCATTCAGAAACATAAGGTATTGACAATGGTGTCTTTGTAATGCTCATTTGTACATAAAGATGTAGTTATTTATTTTACCCCATTTGTATCATATCAAGGTTTTGTATATGTTTTGAGTTCTGTTTTTAAATTATTTTGTATTTTATTTTTATAAACTGGTTCTAAATAAAAATCATTCAGCATGCAAACACCTTGACTAGATTTGTCAATTTATTATTTATGGAACTCATCCAAAAATAGTTTTGAATATAATGTAAATTGGTACAAGCTATGAAAAGCAATTATTTTTCCTCTCTGGAAAATGGAAATTTGGTGCTGAAAAGAGGAGTGCAGATCTGTGAAACATCAGCTTTGAAATGTCAATGATTAATGCAGCATTTTAATAAACTTTTTCTACAGTGATGAAATAAATATGGATGTTTTTCTGCTTGCTCTATTTCTTGCTAGTACATTCAACCAATTACTGTGTTCACCATGTTCCTATTAATAGAGCTTGGGTGTATTTAGCTTTCATGTATTTTAAATGTCTCAAAATGCAGTGTCATGCCCAGAAAATAAATATAAAACAGATGAATAGTATGTTTGTTTTAAAATACTAAACTTTTGATTTTTTTAAATCTAGTAATCAGAAAATCATGATCATAAGTATTTAGATATATAGACATACAATTAATTTATAGTTATATATTATTTTAGCAATAGATATATGATATTTCTGTGTAATGTACCATTATTTTAGACAGCTGAGTAGTTTTGCTTGAGATTCCTAAGCATTGTCAGGGTGTGTATACTTGACATGTAATCAAAATTCTACTGTACAACTGTTCCTGTTTAGATTGATTAATCAGGCATTTCTCACAGTAAAGTATCTATCCGTGAAAGTGAAAAATAAATAGGGCCAGAGTAATTTACTACAAGTTAAACCCAATTGACAAAACAACTGAATATCACTAGATATTCAAACATATCATCATGACCTATTGTCATCTTAGGAAAGGTCACAATCTTTTTGCAGTCTTTGAATTATTGTCTGTATCTATACTGAACCATTTAATTTAGAACAGCCACTTACTACAGTGGTATACAGGAACTAAACCTTGTAGCAGAGCAAGATGCCAACTCTGTTTCCATATTTACTTTGGCAGCACTCTGTCAGTACAGCAGCAAAGGTTTAAATACCTCATCTTCCATTTTTTAGCAACACTCTATGCTATATAGTAAAACTAACCTGTGTAAATAAATAAATGAACATATATCTCACACCAGAAATGGCAAGAAATGTGGCAGAAGCCTTTAACTCGCCCAAAGATTATCATATTTTATGTTGGCATAAAATATGAGCAAAATAATGGGTCAGAATTCATAAAGAAGTTCAGTTCTAGAAATAGAAGATTTATCACACACACATGCTGATCAGTTACTAGGGTCAAGTTTCTTGACTATCCATGATTAATGGTAATTACATTTATGTTTTTGTGTGTGGTGATCATAATTCTATCTGAAGATGGAATATAGTACACTGCAACCCAGTTAATGCTTCAAACCTGAATAATTTCAGTCAGGCTCCAAGAGGAGACGTCTTTGCCTCTGGCACTAGTCTGTAGTTAAAAATTGTTATTATTTTAATATTAATAAAAGTTAGAAACAAGTTTAGTAACTTTTACACTGTGTTGCAAATATATATACATTTCACAAAGCGAGGAATTAACTTAGAGTACATGATT